TTTGATGAAAGTCGCAAGCTTACTTCGAATTTTATGAGCCTCATGGTTATTTAAAATTTTGACCCCTTTGTGGGGGAGGTACCAGAAGTAGTTGTCCGATATATTCCATCTTTACACCAGATCTCATGTTAATAAAAATATTGAGATATTGTATATTTTCGTACCTGATCTAACAAATATTAGGATTTTCAAAGTAGGAACCAAATTGGATAATCTCTTCTCTTTTAATGAGAAACTATTTTCTTTGAAAAATTGGACCTTTTGTGTGGGAGGTACGAGAAGGTAGGGACCGATATTACCCATCTCCGAACTCGAGCTAAGTTTGTAAATAATATTTTGAAGTACCAAGTTCGAATCAAATCGGACACTCCTTGCGAGAGTTATGCGCTCGATAACCGGCCAGACAGAAAGACAAGATTGAAATGCCATCTAGACCATAGATTTGGAATGGATCGAATTTGGAGATAATGATCTTAACATCACAGGATGTAAGGAGAAGGGTTATAGATCTCACCTGAAATTCGTTAGTATTTGAAATAAAATTCAAACCATGTAAAGTACGGCATAAATCCATCGATTCTGACTACGGCATAAAAACGTCAATTAAATCATGATTTAATTAAAATTAATTCAACAATTTTGATCGAACGAATTTTGATTTGTTTTGAATTTTAGAAAAATGGCAGTTAGTTATTGAAATCGCTAGTGGTTTTTAAACTGGGTTATTTCAAAATAATAATATTTAGCATTTGTTTGGTATGTTTCACTACTTTAACTTAAAAAATAATTTGCATTTTTTTAATAAAAAAAAATAAAAATTAAATTACTTTAAGTTAGGTATAAGTATACGAATTACTTTTGTTATATATAGTACATACAATTATATATCTTTTTTTGTAAAGGCTCAAGTGTTCAGATGTTATGTTATGGTATTTTTTTAAGATTTTTCTTTTACATTGTCTTAGAAAAAGGGTGTTTGTGTTTATAATTTTAGAATATGTTTTTTGTGTGTGTTTCTTTCAATAATAATAAAGAAGCAAAATAATATGGTACATTTTTATATAATTTTGTTTTTTTTTATAAAAAAAGAATATTATTTAAGCATTTAGTTTTTTTTCGGAAAAAAATCAAGCAAACATTGAAATTATTTCTTCTTCATTCATTCTTTTCTCATTTTTGTTTTAAATTGCGCTTCATTTCATTTTTTGTGTTGTTGTTGTTTTTTGTAATAATTATAAATTGTTTTAGATTTAGGAATCTATTTCTTTGTATGGACTTTTTGAATTTCACATTTTATTTAAAAATTTCAATTTTTTGTTTTAAATTTCTTCACTTTGCAACTGCCTATGTTGTTGTTATTGTTAGCTGCTCTTTCTTTCATTTTTAAACATAAGTTGCCACCGCCCCGGTACCTGTTGTTGCATTGGTATTATTGGCTGTTCCAGTTCCTCCGCCACCAGCACCACCACCAGTCGTTGCTGCCGCAGCTCCAGTGGCCGCTGTTGGTGTATGGGCAGCTGGTGTATTGTTAGCCGGTTGTGGACTTACAGGTGGCTGTAATTTACCCGGTACATATTGGCCAATGAATGAACCGTCTTCAGTAAATTGTCCTGTAAAAGAAAAGTAAAATTTTTAATAATTTTTATATACTGATTTTTAAAGGGTGTTAGAAACTTGGGTGTTAATGTTTTTAGTTTTCGATCCAACAACAACCTATCTTTTTAATAAATTTACGGGGAAATTTTAATGGTATTGTCGAAATTTTGGATTAGTTAGAAAAACTTTTCATGGAGAATTTTTTATGGTTTTTCAAGATTTTAAATTAGTTAGAATAACATTCAGTTAACATTCAGGTATTCGTTCTAATCTATTTGTTGTAAAATGTCACGAACCACAGCAGATACAGTTGGGTGACGTCACACTAGGGTTCACATCAGAACCTTGGCATGATTCTTGACCACCACCTTAAGTGGAACATAAGCTTTCATCAGGCTCCACTAGATTTTCATCGAAATATCAAATATATACACCACTATGTATATATAGTAGAGAGGCATATAACAAATAAATGTTTTTATGGGGAATTTTTGAGAATTAAAACATATGATCCTTACATTAGATATAATTTGAAGCTGAAAGGATCTAATATATGGCAGATTTTTATTGTATTCTTCTAAATTTGATGGAGACATTTGTGTCTGAACCAATATTCATCAAAATCCATTAAATTTGAGCTGATATTACATTTTTTAGGCACAATAAGCGTGAAATCGGATGAAGATATATATCGGAGTTATAACCAAATCTAAACCGAGTGTTTTACGGGTGCAAAATACAAAATCGGATGAAACATATATATGGGACCTAGAGCTATATCATAACCGATTTTTTTTTAAAAAATTTGAAACATTTTCTTTCACGCTAAATTTGTTACTATGTGCCAAAATCCATTCGAATCGGGCTTATATTAAACAGTTGGAGCACAATAAACTTTAAATCGATATGTATAGGGGCTATATCCAAATCTGAACCGATCTCCATAATATTTTGCAAAGGTATTTCTGAGCAGAATTTGATATAGTTCCCTAAATATCGTTGTTACAGCGAAGGCTGCGGAAGACAAAAATAATAAATCGGATGAACAATATATATGGGAGCTATAGCTATATCTTAACAGATTTCCACCAAATTGGAAACACGAGTTTCTAGGCCCAAATTATTTATAAGTGCCAAATTTCTTGATGTGATGCACAATAAAAACAAACGAAACGGGCGAAGATATACAGGTTGAGATAAAAAAAAAAACTGCAACAAAGTCAAACGCCCTAATTTTAACATTTCTTTTAAATTTTATTAAATGAAAGCAAAAATGTCGGGAGTAGCATCCAATTTTAGAATAAGTTTAGATTTGTACGAATTGGTCACCTTTGGCACGAATTATGGCCTTCAATGAAACCGTCACACGCTGTCCGAATGTTGCTCTGCGGTATTTTGTCCCATACCCGGCGAAGCGCTTGCTTGAGGTGATCAACACTTTGATATTTTTTAGTGTCAATCTTGCTTCCCAAAATACTCCAGACACAATAGTCCAACAGATTGGTATCCCGAGATTATGGTGGCCATTGTGCGCTGGATATGAAGCGAGGAACCTCATATTTTGTAACCATTCTTGGGTGGCGCGTGCTGAGTGTGATGGTTCTGAGTCCTGTTGCAATGTCTAAGGTCTGCGGCCAAAATGTTTGTGTGCCCAAGGCTTTAATACACCCTCCATAATATTTTCGCGATAATATTCGGCATTTATTCTTATGCCACGGTCGATTAATACAAGCGGAGAGCGACCATCGGATGTTATGGCGGCCCACACCATCACCATGGCCGGCGCTTAAGTTCTGTTGGCCAAACAAAGGTGCACATGTTCAGTTGCCCTCTTTGGCAAGTAAACACGATCATTTTGTTTGTTTACAAACTGCTGGATAACGACAACGAATGTTTTCTCATCGAAGAAAACCAAATTCAATTCAGGCAGTTCACCACTTTCGGCCAAGCGAAGCAAATCTCTAGCTCGTTTGAGTCTATTTACTTTCTTTTGCGGAATTTCAATGGCTTTATCCCGAGCTCATTTTACAATATTTGCCGAATGGAATATTGCGATATATTTAGCTCTCGAGCCATTTTTCGGCCACTGCGACACGGACTTCGATCAAGTCTCTTCTTTACTTTTGAACCATTTCTGCTGATGTTGCTGTTTTCTTCCGTCCACTTCCTTGAGGTCGGGCTACGCTACCAGTATCACGGTAATGAGCGATGGTACGAGACACAAAAGATTTATTCACATTTAACGACGCTCTAACGATAGCCACTTGTGTTTTTCCAGCCACATATAAAGAAATCACTCTATCACGCTTGAATTCCATCACGAAGAACTTTTTTCCTGTTGTACGCTTCTAAACAATATAATGAGCTTTCACTGGAATAATTTTAGCAGCTGTCGGACGAGTGGCTTAGAAATGATAGCAGCCTGAAGTTGGTTGCAGTTTTTTCATCTCACCCTGTATACCCACTCTAGCTATATGGCTGAGGAATATAATATATCTGTATTCTCTCTTTAGATCCTACATGGAATTATGGGTAGATATTGAACTGCTCAAACCAAAGTTTCTAAAAACATTTTAATTATCACCGTTCACTTTTTTGTGTTTATTCAATATGAAAACGTTTTAGTGGAAAAAAATATTGGGCGGAAAGGGAAAACGAATATTGGAAACATTCATTATTAATTTATGTTTTTATATATTTTAAATAATAAGGAAATTCTCAAAACAAAATCAAAAACAAATTTAAAATAAAAATATAATACCTTGTTGGTGGGTGTTTTCTTTGTGGAAATTAAAACTCAAATATTAAATAATATTTACAGGCTATGGAAAAGAAATTAAAAACCAATAATAAATTACCAAAAACGAAAGAAAATGAAATAAAAACTAAAAAGATTTTTTGTTTCTTTTTTTATTGGATTTTTACGATTTTTTAATTGTAGTTTTTGTGGTTTTTCTTTTTATTTTTTTGTTTTGTTTAAAAATTATTGTATAGTATTATATAATACGAAAAAGAGGTACAAATTTAACTTAACTAAAGTTAAATTTACATTTAAAAAAATAAACAAAAAAACATTACAAAGTATGTTTTCTTTTTTTTGTTTGCTGTTTGCTTTTACTGTTACTAATACAAAAAAAAATATTTTTAATGTTAAGCTTTTAAGGTTATGTTATATAAAAAAACTATATATGCAGTTACAAGAAGAAAAAAAAAAACAGAAAAATAAAATAAGAGAGCATGGATACTTATTACACATATAAAAAACATAAAAAAAATACAAATTAAAAAAATACAGTGTATAGAGATTTGTTTTTTGTTTTTGCGGAGTTATGGAAACAGGGATGGATGCTGTGAGGTTGTATTACAAAAAATACACACAAACTTATATAAACAAATATATATAATTTTTTACTTTAAGCAATAATAACTATTTTTTTATTATGATAAAATAAAAAAAAAATAAACAAAACAGGAGGGAGAGAAAAATTAAAAAATACACGATTTTCTTGAACATTTCAAGGGAAAGAAAAAATAAAAATTACACAATTTACTTTTTTTTATTACTACACAAAATATATATATTTTTTAGAGATTACCAATGATGATTCGTCGTTTCACAAAATATTCGAAATTGCCTTAAATATTTTTTTAAAAAATTAATGAAATAAAAATAATAAAATTTAGCTGCTGGCAGTAGTTGGGGTTTCCTTTTTTTATAATTTCTTGAAGTTTTTATTTTTACATACAAAAATATAAAAAATAGATAACTTTTTTAAGGGAGAATTGCTAAGTGATGTTCATATTGCTGTGTGGCTTTAACAAATTTGAAATATTCATTCGATTTATGCCAAATATTGGGATGGAAATATTGAAAATTGGTGGTTTTTTTACTTTGTTCTTATTTTAATTTATATATAAAACTTTTTTATTTTATTTTTTTTTATTAAACTAAATTAAATTTTACGTCCATATTGACCTATAAAAGAACCATCTTCATTCAAACCTATGAAGATTTTGAAAAATATTTTTTTTTTGAAATCACATTAAATAACAGAAAAATACACACAAAAGGCATTTCCAATAATCCCCAAAAAAGCAATACATTTTGTTTACAGATTAAAAGTATATAAATATATATTTGAATGGTGATGATTATTCGTGGATGATGTCATAGGTGGGTGGTTGGTTGGTTCGTTGTCAACAGGTTTGGTTGGGGTGGCACACACAAAATGTCGTTGTAATATATTTAGATACATTTGTTGTTGTATTTGTTTTACACACAATGGATGATGATTTGATTTTTTTACACATTTTTTTTGGATTGAAAGGCGTTCACAGTAGAGGAGTCATAGAAATACAAAACATAAAAATGAAGAAAAAAAGAAAAAACAAATTAAATTAATAAAATAAAATAAATAAATATTTTAACAAAATTAAAATTTGTTGCATAACAGAGCATTAAGAATATTGTTTTATTAAAATAGATTTTTTTTTGTAACAAAATTGCTGATTGGGTGTTTTTTGGTTGGTTGCATGTTGATGAAAATGAGCTGAGTTTTGATTTTTTTGCAATGTTGTTGTTGTTTGCAGTTGATGATTATTTTTTTTATGAAAACAAGTGATTGATTTTTTGAATTTTGATTAAATTGCCATGTAGTAGTAGGAAAGTATAATAAGCATTTAAAAAAAATTTCGGAATTGAAAAATGTAACTCAAGCCATAACAAGAAGAACGAATGCCATTTGTTTTAGTGTTTAATATTTTTTTTTCCTATAAAAATAACGCCTTTTCAAGCAGAACCAAAAATTAACAAGTAAAAAACAGCAAATTTCGGCCAGGCCGAACTTTTAATACCCTCCATCACTTTGAAGGAACTTGAAAAAATTAAAAAAAAAATCCGTAGAAAAATACCTCTCTAAATGATACCCATTCAAATACGAAATTTGAAATAATTCCGGTGAATAATGTCGCTAAAATTATCAAAATACTAAATATCGGGAGGTGCCGTTATATGGGGCCTCTACGCGATTTTTTGTTATAGGCTGTAATATCCATAAGAACTTCAAATATCAAATTTGAAACAATTCCAGTGAATAATGTCGCTACAATCATGAAAATACCGAATATCCGGAGGTACCGTTGTATGGGGGCTATACCAAGAAGTTGACTTGCGCAGACAATTTTCTGTCATAGGCTGTACTATCCATTACGAACTTCAAATGCCAAATTTGAAATAATTCCGGTGAATAATGTCCAAAATCATAAAAATACCAAAGACATAGAAGTGTAAAGATAGGACAAGACAGAGTTAAAATACGGTAACCCTGAGAAAATACCTCTGTTGTTACGATATCATAACATAGTTACCAACGTTAACTGATTTACACCGCTAAGGCAAGAAGCTAATTTGTGGAAAGACCCATGGAATAGAATTTTGAATCCAAAATTTTGGATTTTTCAAATTTTTATTTGTTATCCGTTTCTGTAATAGTGGTTTTTATATTAACATGTCTTTGCCATGAGCTGTTACTCTCTCTATGTATTGTAGACACAAACCATTTGCTCAAAATGCATTTTGTCTAGTCTTTACCATGTTAGGTCTTTGAAAATACCTAGTATAGGGAGGTATTGTCATAGTTTGTAGAACATATTATGAGCTTTAAATACGAAATTTGAAACAATTCCGGTGAATAATGTCGCTAAAATCCTTAAAAATACCAAATATCGGGAGGTACCGTTATATGGGGGCTATGGACCTGCACAGACAATTTTCTGTCTTAGGCTGTAATATCCATTACGAACTTCAAATACCAAATTTGAAACATTTTTGGTGAATAATGGCGCTTAAATCACCAAAATACCGAAAATAGGGAGGTACCATTATATGGGGGATATGCCAAAACGTGGACCTACATTATCAATACGAAAAGTCCTGCAGACATAATACACATTTGAGTAATATTTTATCAATCTACTTTATTTCGTTCGGAAGCTAGAGTGATTTCCACAGCCGGATGTCACTAAATCGACGTAGAATTTTATGCTGATCAAGAATATATACTTTTTGGAGTCTAAAATGTATATTTCCACATGTGAACTTTTTTGTCGTTTAAAAATAACGTCTTATAACATTATAAATCAAGTAAGCAAAGGCCAGTTGATACACTAGAACACTACAATTTACGGTAAATTTTCTGCAGATTTAAAAAAAAAAATAAATAAATAAAAAATAAATAAATAAAATGTGCGTGAGGTACCAGATATAGTCGTTGAGAGATATATTTAGATATAACAATTTGTAAAGAATCGCTGACTTGTTTCGCAAATTATGACAGACAAATGTTTTGGAAATTTTAACCCTTTGTGGGTGATGTACCAGAAAGGTTCGCAGACAAAACATCTTGTGTTAGAAAAAACGTTTGTATGTGTTAAATTTGAAGAGAGTTGGATGCCTATTCCCCATCTTTGAGCGGTTTGTTTTTCAAAATCTTGAACCCTCTGTGGGGGAGGTTCTAGAGGAAATGGTCCGATCTCTCCCATATTTCTTACAGATCTTGTGTTAATCGGAATATTGAGATGTGCCAAATCTCAATGGAATCGGATATTTATTTCACATTTGTCGAGGTACCAGAAGAAGTGGAACGATATATCCCATCTTCAGAGCATATCTTGTGTTAGGAGAATAATGGGAAGTGTGAAATATGAAGAGAATCGGATGCTTATTTCGGATTTCATAATTGTTTTGGTTATTCAAAAATTTTGGACCTCTGTCGGGGAGGTACCAGAGAGAAGGGTCCGATATCTATTATCTTTATAACAGATCTTGTGTTGATAGAAATATTGAGATGTGCCAATTCTGAATGGAATCGGATGTTAATTTCGCGTTATATGAGCTTCATGGATACTTAAAATGTTGACCCTTTGTGGGGTAGGTACCAGAAGGAGTAGACGAATATATCCCGTCTTTAGAGCAGATCTTGTGTTAGTAATCATAATGGGATGTGTGAAATATGAAGAGTATCGGATGCTTATTTCGGATTTCATAATAGTTTTGGTAATTCAAAACTTTGATCCTCTGTGGGGGAGGTAGCAGAGGGATGGGATCTACCATCTTTTTAACAGATCTTGTGTCCATCTTATTGTCCATTTTCGCACCTGACCTAACACTTACCCAAATATTAGGATGTGCAAAGTTGGAACAAAATCGGATTATCCTTTTTCTTTTTGAGCAATAAATTATTTTCTTTGAAAATATTGACATTTTGTGTGGGAGGTACCAGAAGGAGTGGACCCGTATTACCTAATATTTGATTTGATAAATCGGATACTCCCTTCAAGAGTTATCATGTGCACCAGCCAGACAGACAGGCGGGGGGACGGACATCGCTAAATTGGCTCCAAATGTCCTAACACGGATGTGGTCCAAAGAGACCTAGGATCCAAAACCATTATTTCGATGAGGCACGTTTTGGCCGTATCAGCCATTTGGCTAAGGGTATAACTAGCCATATGGCAGAGGGTATAAAAAATGAAAAAAAAAATCAAGACTTCGACCGCTCCCAAAAGTCTCTTGAATATTCATGAGAAACTGTAATTGGATATAAGGGAGCCGATGCGCATTGGTGGCGCATCCGAAACAACTCCGCAAAAATAGTTGTTACAAATCTCGCTACGAGAATCATAACTCTAAAAAGATAATGTTTAGAACTCCAAAAGTCGGAGATTAAGCACTTATATAACGAGGACGAAGAATATTAATAAGTACTTATGGTACGTCCATTTGCTGGGCATAATCTTCCCTGTCTTACCTCTTGACAAACATTTTCATTTCCCCACTAATATAGAAATGCTTTTTTTTTTAGAAATCAATAAGAGTGGAATTAAACCTATCTATTTTGATATAACCACTCAAACGACAACAAATAGAAATGGGAAACAAATATTTTGTGCAAATTCCAAAAAAACTCAAAAATTTATGTTCTGTTCCAGAACTGAAAAAAATGTGAATGTTTTTACTTAGATAAACGATTTTTAAAACTATCTTCTTTCGCTTTTCAAAGATTTTAATTTCATTCGGTAAAAGTTTTCCTGTAATGCCTCTTACGGAGTCTCGAGAACATGATTATAACCTTTGGGGCAATTCACGAGTATTGTAGTCACTAGTTTGATTTGCGTTGGAAGTTTTGCCCCACAGGGAAAAGTTTTGAAAACATATTTTTGAATCATATTCGATGTATCCCCAACAAATAAATAACTAATTTTCAATTAGTCCAAATATTATTCAGGCTGCAATATAGTATTTTATTGCAATAATAAAATTCCAGACATTTCTACCTGATCGTCTACGTATAAGCTTCGAAAGGGAATATTCTTGATTAATATTAGAATATTAATACAATTTGGCTCAGAGAGATTTATTAGTTAGCTGTTTTTAAAAACGAAGCTTTTTAAAGAATTTTGGCTATCCAAAATAGAATTAAAATTTTTGTGCTTGAATTTTGTTGTTTAAAGCAATTTTTTTGGCATATTAAAGGCAATCAATGGCAGAGGCGGCGGTGGCGGCAAGAACAAGTGTTTAGGAAAAAAAACTTTGTAAATAACATTTTAACAACATGCATAAACTTGTGGTTTACCTTTAAAAATATATTTTGATTTTTTTTGGTAAAAAAAAGAATTTCTAATGAAATTATAAAAGAGATTTGCAAATCAAAGGATTAGCTTATTTTTTAAGGCCAACAGACGATGTGGTGGGTGGAACAGTTGCAGAATCTTCTGCCTGTTCGGAGAGGGTGGGCAAAGTTTGCTGAAGTTTACGGGGCCCAGCTGAGCTCATTTTCAACATTCAATGCGTAAAAATGAAAATAAATTTAAAGAAAAATATATAAAATTAACTTAAGAATAAAATCAATGAAATAAAAATATAAAAAGACTAAATATTTTTCAAGAATTTGAGAAAGTTTTGTCATGGAAACCTACCTGTATCACCATCTCCATATTCGGCCATTGAATCGGTATCACTTTCCAGGCCTGGTTTTGCTGAACTAACAGACTGGCGACCAGCGCTCTTGTTGTCCAAACTGAAATGAGGAAATTCCAACCATTTAATAACTTCCTCAAAATATTTTTTCTTGTCGTTGAACTTACGGTTGTGAGTATTCATGGAAACCACCTTCATCTGGATAGTCGCGTCTGCCATTTGCCAATTCCCGATCGTGTACATCATATTTGCCACCACGATTGCGGCGTATAATACAAATAATAATGAATAGTATTATGATAATGGCCAGGGCCAACATCATGCCGATAAACCAGCCGGCATTAGCTAAATTCTCGTTGGGCACCTTAATGGGTCCCTCAACAGCACCAATATCGATTTCTTGGATATCACTTTCAGTCATGAAATGACCATCAACGGCCACCACACGGAATTCGTAGACAGATTCGGGATCGAGGCCGGCAACTTCTTGATAATCGCGATTCTTTTCTTCGGGTGCTTGGTTCCATTGGGTTTCTCCCTTGATTCTGTAAATGTCAAAAATGAAAATATACATTCCAAAAGAGGTAAATAACAAAATAAAACCTACCTGTATTGGGTGAAGAAGTGGGTACCAGCATGTCCCTCACTGTTGGGTTTCCAGTTAATACGGAATTTGGCCAAACCATTATCGGAGGGTTCTTGATGATATTCGAAATAGGGTACGGCAGGTTCCTTGGATTCTTCGGTCAAGGTGCGTTTCTCAATGAAATGTCTGAAAATAAAGAAAAGGTTAAAAAAATTCCCCTCCTCCTCCTTGTCCTCCTCTAAAAAGAAACCACTTACTCTGTTCCTTCACCCGCCTTGGTTGTGGCCGCAATGGAAATCCTGTATTTGGTATTGGGTTTCAAACCGGCCATTTTCATGCTGGTCACCCGTGGGTCGGTAATATGTGGATCATATTCACGTCTTTCGCCAACATAGCTGCCCTTGACCTCTTCATAGTAGATCTTGTAGCCGGTCAATTTGCCATTGGGATTTAGGGGTTTCTTCCAGACCAACCAGAAGGCCGAAGAACCCATGGGATAGGCCGACAACGATTCAACGGGAGATGGTACACCTTCGGGTGTATCGAAATCAATAACAGCACTGGGTGGGCCATTGAAACCACCATTATAGGCCAGGACACGGGCGAAATTCTTCGAATCAGGTTTGAATTGTGTGACCAAGGCTTGATTGGAATCTCCCTTGACATGGATTTCACGCAGACCTTCTTCACCCTCCTTTTCGGTCCAGGTTTGAATCTTGTAACCCTTGAAATGGCCGCGTATGGATTCGGGGCTAACGGGATTCCAGTTCAATATGGCAGAGGTGGCACCCACCACCTGGGTCATGCTGAAATTCGTGGGGGCTTCCAAGGGACCTGTAAACAAACAATGGAATTTTATTATTTATCAGCAATGCCTTTTAAAGTTTCCAAATACTTACGATCCTCTCCAGACCAACCCACAACTTCCTCAGCTGCCACATTGGCCTGACCCATTTGATTAATGGCCACCACCTTGATGAGATAACGCACAAACGTGGGCTGATCTTCAATCACCAAACTGTCCTGTTCCCAATTGTAGATATCCTTGTTTTCCCAGTTGGCAGCCGGTATGTCACGCTTCCAGGATACACGATATTGGAAGTTTGGTCCATTGTGATCAATTTCGGGCATGGCAGTCCAGGTGATTATCAAATTTGTGGGTTGTTTACCTTGGCCTTGAACATTATCGGGATTCTTGTAGGGCACATCGGGTTGTGTGGTACACACCTCGCTGTGATCCGAGGGTGGTGAGGGTCCAATTTTGTTAAATGCAATTACCCGGAATGTGTAGTTGGCCCACGGAGACATATCAACAACAAAGGATGTGTCGGTAGAAGGCACCTTTTCATAGGCCACATCCCAGGTGTCCGGCGTGAATGAGGTATTGAATTGTATGGTGTAGTGGAGAATGGGAGAACGATTATCACCACGTGGCTCCCAGGTGATTTCAGCCAAACGTGGTTTACATTTGACATTCTTTAGGGCAGGGGCATTAGGGACATCTTGTACAATGAGATTGGCACTACCGGTAGCCTCATCCAATTCGGTACGGGCCACACAGGTATATTCTCCGGAATCCAATTCAATGGTTTTGGCAATGGTCAGAGAGTTGTCATTGGTCTTGACAAAGCGGGCTTCGGCCTCAAAGTCGATTTGTTGGGAATCCTTCCACCATTCAATGGTCAGGTTCAGGGTATCGTCATGGGCCTCATTACAACGGAAAGTGGCCGATTGGCCAGCTGCAACTTCATAGTTTTGTGGAGCCTGGGTTATGCGTGTCGCTTCCTTGACGGCCAAACTTCCGTTGGCTGACTTTTCGCCAAACTTATTCTTGGCATGGCAGGTGTATTGGCCAAAGTCGTCATGGATCACTTGCTGGATGTGTAAATCTCCCGAGGGCAAGACAGTGAAACGTCCACCCGTCAATTCACGGCCATTGTGCAGCCACTTAACCTGCGGCTTGGGGGCACCAAAGACACGACAACGCATTGTTACATTCTTTCCCGTCACTGTGGCCTCCTTGCGTGGTGGCTCCTCAATCTCTGGCGGCAAAGCCAACACGTTCAGGTAAACATCCTTGTAAACGTAACCCAACGAATTGGTGGCGTTACAACCATAATTACCCGTGTCACTCTTCACCAAATCGTGGATAACAATGCGATTGGTTTCAACGGTGCGTCGGGGGTTGGGTGGTGCCTGGCCAATGGGCTTGCCATTGTGGATCCATTGTATGGTGGGCTCGGGCACGCCAGAGGCTTCACAACGGAATTCCACTGTCTCGTCTTCGGCAGCATTTTGAATTTCGGGTTCAACGGTGAAATAGGGGACGGCTTGAATTTCCAGTTTGATGGAGTACGATTGGCCCTTGCCCACACCGTTGAACACGTCACAGGTGTAGGTGCCGGCATCCTCAAAGGTGGCATAGCGTATTATCAATGATTTGCCATAGTTGCCTTGCGAAATACGATCGCCCCAGGCAATGGGTTCGCCGTTTTTGCGCCACACTGTCTCCGGCAACGGTGTACCGCCATAAATACAAAACAGCTCAACATATTTTCCGCGCAATGCCACCTCATTCTTTCTGGTCACATATTGTTGGGTGGGTGCGAACTTATTCTGCGATGGACTTATACCCGTCTGCTTGACATCCAACAATACACGATTGCCGATCTTGTATTCGTTGCGGAACACTGAGGTAGCTGAACAAGTATAAAATGTGTCGGTGGAGGCATCCTCACGGGTAACATTCGAAAACCACAAAGTACCCTCGGGATCCAGGGTCATGCGTGAACTGTTAATCGTCTTAATGCCAGCATCAAAGGTATTCTGAATTAGCCAATTGACCGTGGGCTTGGGCCAGCCATCGGGCGCCTGGCATTGCAACGAGAAGGGTTCACCCTCATTTGCCTCGACAATTTTCTTTTCATCTTCCTTGAATGCATTCAATTCGGCCTTACGTACGAATACAGAATTTGAGGTGGCAATGCCAAATTCGTTCTCGGCAAAACATTGATATTGTCCGAGATCTTCGTCCTTGGGTGAGGTGATGACCAATGTGCCGCGACCCGGTTGTTGCAGCATACGATTGTCGTAGGCTTGCCAATCGAATTTTTTGCCATTCTTAATCCAGCGGTAACTGCAATGAGGGCGAGAGAGAGAGAGAGAGAGAGAGAGAGAGAGAAGAGAATAGAGAAAACAAATTGAGATTAATTGAAGTGTTAATTGTGAGAGGGGGTAATTAAAATGTGTGTGTGGAGAGCAGTGTTGCCGTTTTGGGCGTTTCCGTCCAAATTTGGGCGGAAAAAAGATAAATTTTGTGGTTTGGGCGGAATTTGGGCGGATTTTTTCCATATTGGGTACAAATTTACTTTTCATTGTTTATTTTTACGTAATTTAATTTTTTTTATTACTAACTGAATTTTATATTTTTTTTATTGAGATGAATCGTTATTTGTTTTATAGATTTTTGTTAAGTTTTTTTAATAATATATATGTGATACCCTACAACACTACAATATGTTAGAAGCCCCCTCATGTCCAAATCCATTTTGGAAGATTTCGCTTTCGAAATTATGTCACGGAGCACTGCCTAGATATTACCCTTAGCATTTTGACCAGGGACATTTTCCCAATATTTATGCACTCCGTCGTGCTGTTCGTTTTTGTGGTCCATTTTACGGCTAAATATATTCCAATGGTCATCATCAAATCAGCATAAAAAGCCAGAAGTTCGCCTATTGTGTATTTCGGATATCGCCTGTAAGTAATGTTGGTATTTTTTTACACAAAAGTAGTGGTCCATTCTACCCGCTGTCCTAAGCTCTAACTTCATGCGAGATTTCGTGTCCTTAGGTTTATATTTAGGACCTTTATAACGGCTGCAAAATCAGGAACATTTTGAGTTGCTGGTTAATTTCAACCCCTAAATATATTCTGGACATCTTTGAAAACAATAGGCTAAGCCCTTCTGAGCCTAACCCTACCTTTGTTAAAAATTTCGTGAGGATCGAACGATAATTGCAATCTGTATATAAATAATAACCCTAACCTGTGTTGTAAAGTAAAAAATATTACAAAACAAATACTTCAATATTATAAATTAATTTAAAAAAATCGCATGCGATAAAAAATATGAAAAAATAAAAAAATGTCACAAAATACTACAAAATCTATATGAACATCATTATTGGTATCTTTTTATGCGATTTTTTAGTATTTATACTTTAATGCCACAAGGGCATTCTAAATTGACAAAATTTGTCAAAATCGCTCCAGCCATTCTGAAGATATAAGCATTCCAGCTGACATCCCCTTCCTTTGTATACATACATTGTATATATTTCTCTATATATATCCGATATTTTTACTATCGGCATCTACGTAACGGTCAGAATTGACCTGTTCATGTATTTGTGATTTCACCGGCAGTAAAAATATTCGCGGATTAATGGAAAATTTGACTTTTATTTATCGCAAATGCTATGGTCTACTAAACCACTAAACATTACCCGATGACCATCAAAATTGGAAGGCTTCTGTCCAGTCCAAAATCTAGCCCCATGCTTAATTTCGCTTCGATTGGTCTATAATTGTGACCTGTAGAGTAACTGCTAGACAGCTAGATCGACTCAGCTCGGCGAGATAGGAAGATCCATATATACTTTCCTATGTGGGAAACCAATATTTCGTGGTGTTACATAATTTTTGGCCCAATCAAAGTTATGATTGGTCAACATGAATAATAATAATGACTTTAATGTATTTAATACATTGAATTCTTGTATTACGTTACTTTTTCAAATATATATATAATATATAATATATATATAAAAAAAAACTTGAAGTAAAATAACATAAAATTTTTATTTTCTCTGAGGTATTTAATACATTGAATGTAATAAAACCTGAGTACCTTTTTTATGTATAATGTAAAATGTTCAATAAAATTTACTTGAATACAAACTACATATAATTTATTCAACTTTTTACAGTTTGGGCGGATATGGTCAATTTTGGGCGGTTTTTAGAAAAAATTTGGGCTGAAATAAAAATTTCAAACGGCAACACTGGTGGAGAGTGTTATTTTTATATTTCCTTTTTAAATTTAACATGGCAATAAAAACAAATTGATAGCAATTTGTTGTTGTTTTTAAAAACTCAATTTGCACAATTAAATAATTTAAAAAGTGCCTATTTCATGTGTGGCCAAGTTGGAAATTTTTTGTGTCTTTTTAGAAGAATTTAACACCGAATTTTAGAGTTGAGTATTTTACAGTTGTCGAATGGACAATTTTGTTAAGGATTCTTAACGCCAAGTCGGTCAATATAATTTCTTCCAAATTTTCATCACCGTGCCTTTGGTTGGACACCCATTTCTCCTTAAATTTATTCAGTTTCTGTCTGTAATACTTATAAACATTTCATGTCTGACCACCATCTTCATTGCTGCATTGTCCATATGGAGCAAGATGGTCGGGCTAGTCTGTCTGGCTGCAAAGACTGCCCCGAAGAATGCCATAGCAAATAAACATTAAGTAATAATGAAAATGAATGGAAATGTGAGTAAGTTAATGAGGTAAGAAAGACAACCAGAATGAAGAAAATTATAAGAAGTATTATATTTCTTGAAGCATTGCTTTATTACAACACTACTAATCGTTCATTAGAAGAGTAAATATAAGTTGTTGTTCGAATAATTTAATTCTGCATTCAGTTTTAGATTTTAGAATTGTTTTTTTTGTGTTTTTTTTTTTTTTTTTTTTGAATGGCAAATATAAAATATAAGAGGTTCTTTACTTCGCTTTCGAAGTTTTTAAAGAAGATATTGAAGTCAGCTTTTGAAATTCAAGACTGTGAACTTAACATTTGGCAGAGAACAATTGAAAGATCCATTTAAGGTTAAACAATTGATAATTATTTAATGAAGTGTGGTCAGCATGGCGACGAAGAGAAATGACTTCTACGAACTTACAAAGAAAATGAGAATTATTAAAATTAAAGGCTTTAATATGTGAAAAATTATACAATCGGCCGGGCCGAACTTTTGATACCATCCACCAAGATATATACCAAAGTCAAAATGAGAATCTATATCAACTTTTTTTGAAAGGCAGTTGGACACCCATTATATCGCAGATATAACAAAATGTGGATCTATATAGATGAATTTTTGCAGGGTGGTAAGGAACCCGAAACAACTTTCAAATACCATATTCCACAAAATTCGGTTAAGTCAAAATTCTTAAAATGAGAAGGGTACCGGCAAAAGTCCGACAACGCTCTAAAAATTCATAAAAAATCACCACTACAAAAATTAGATAATAAATTAATATTTTTTAGAAAGTCGACAATTTTAGCTTAGATGGCCGAAATTTTAATACCCTCGAACATTTTGAAAAAAAAAAAAAACTTGAAAATTTTCAAAAAAGCCGTAGAAAAATATTTTCCTTCATTAGTAGTTTTTTTGTCATAGGCTGTAGTACCGATTCCGAGCTTCAAATACGAAATTCCGGTGAATTATGTCGCTAAAATCATCAAAACGACGATATAGGGTGGTACCGATATACGGGGGCTATACGAAGAGCTGGACCTGCATAGACAATTTTTTTTGTCATAGGTTGTAGTACCCATAACGAACTTCAAATACGAAATTTCAAACAATTCCGTTAAAAAATGTCGCTAAAATCATGCAAATACCGAATTTTGGAAGGTACCGTTATATGGGATATGGGAAGACGTGGACCTGCATACGCGATTTTTTGTCATAGGCTGTTATTACGCATTGCGAACTTTTAATACGAAGAGAATCGGGTGCTTATTTCGTATTTTATGAGCGATATAAATATTCGAAATTTTGGCCCGTTGTGGGGGCGGTACCACAAGGAGTAGTCCGACATTTTTTATCTTCAAGCATGATATTTTTTGGGTAGAAATATTAAAATGTGAGAAATTTGAATAGAATCGGATGTTTATTTTGCATTTTATGAGAGTCATAATTATTCAAAATGTTGATCCGTTGTGGGGGAGGTACAAGAAGGAGTGGTCCGACATATTCTGCTCATATTCAGCTCTAGCCCTTCACCAAATACCAAGTTTAGTAGCATTTAGTGCAATATCCAAAACAATTTACATCTCTCCATCTTTGACACCAACAGTGATCCAAAATTAGCAACATTTATTAGTTTTTGGAACAATTGTGTTACACATTTCCAAAACCATCGCAATTCTAGATAACAACCGAGAGGAGGATTCTTTCTTAGTACTTTTCGAAAAAAATATAGTACGCATTCCCAAAACCACTTCCAAACCAGATACCAACATCTATAAAATATGAGGACTTCTTTTCTATTCCTTCATCCAGTACCAAATTTAGTACGTTTTGTACAAACATAGGACGCATTTCCAAACGACTGCCAAATTTCAAACACAGCTAATCTAAATATGAAATTTCAGATTTGTACCTCTACCCCTTCACCCATTAGTACTTTTCGTACAATTTTCAAAACCATCTCCATATCTCAATTTGAGGATTCCAGTCTTATCCCTTCATCCAATACCAAATTTAGTACTTTTCGTACAAATATGGGGCACATTTCCAAACCACCGTCAAATCTCAAACACAGCTACCATCACTAATCTAAATATCAAATTTCAGAGTTTAATCTCTATGCCTCCACCCAATACCAAACATAGTAGCATTTAGTACTTTTCGTACAATTATAGTACACATATCCAAAACCACCTCCATATCTGAATTCGAGATATCAACAAAGACTTAAATATCCAATTTCGGTATTCCAGCCCAATCCCTTCACTCAATACCAAATTTTTGTAACATTTAGTACTTTTCGTATAATTTTAGTACTCATTTGCAAAATCATTCCATATCTGCCTACGTTCATAATCTGTAGAATTTTCCCCGTCACTATTTTTTAGTGTTGCACAGTGTTATTAAATATTTTTTTCAATATTCATGAATGAAGGATGGATTTGAATTTAATATTGTTTAGCCAAAATTAAAGTCCTGCAATTTCACAGACAATGAATAGTCTTCTTGGACTTTGTTTGTACCCTCCAAATGCTTGACTCTCAACACACACATTTTTTTTTCAATGTTAATTTTTTCCCCTGATTCAT